CAAAATAGGAGCACTATTTATCAATCTGTAATAAAAGACGTGAGGAAATTCTGTCTTTTTTAAAGACAAAAATTTTTGAAGCGAAATACCCAAAACAGAAGTTTGTAAAAAATAAATGTATGTTTTACCTAGGAAGTATTTTGAATATTGTTGGCTCAAATAGGACGCCAAAAACGAATTATTTCTTATACATTTTGCGAGCTGTTTTAGCTCAAAGTCAATGAAACTGTTGAGCTTTTCTTTGAAAATGCAAACAATTTCGCTAGTTTTGTGCATTGCCCATAAAAATATATTTTTTTTAAATTCAGTCAATTCATTCCCTCAGAAACCCGTAACAAGCCAAAGACGCAAAGTGGAGACCATGATTTGTTTCCAAGAACTACCGAGGCAGAATAAACTCGTAGAAGCGATGAAATATGGAACTATTTTGATGCAAGACAATTAAATGTACTAAGTAACAAGCGTTTTTAATGTTGCTGGATCAAATAGGTCCAAAAAGGCGAGTTAGGTGATACATTTTGCCTCCTGTTTTGGCTCAATACCGGTTGAAACTGTCGAGTTTTTGTTCAATAATCCGAAAAACTCCTAAGTTTCAGGTATTGGCTCAAGGTATTGGCTGAGGTAGGAACTCAAATTTTTGTGATTCAAATGAGTTTTTAGAAAAATCACTTTAATTCCCAGAAAAAACAGTAAGGACAGTAAGACGCGAAGTTGAGCCCATAATTTGCTTCCAAAGCTATCGAGGCAGAAAAAACTCCGAAAATGTGATATAAAAGCAATAAATCATTTACCTAAAAATGGTTTTGAATGTTGCAGACTAAAGTAAGTCCAAAAAACGAACTATTTATTATACAATTTGCCTCGGGTTTTGGTTCAAAACCAATTGAAACTGTTGAATTTTTCGGGTCTTTCGATCGTTTTTCGATCGTCGAATTTCTTCATGAAGCCAGCACGAGTTAATTGGATCTTCAGAGAAAGTTTGCTTTGAAACCTACACTTGCATGAGTGCAGTGCACGCCTGAAGATGCAAGTCACTCATCCTGGTGAAACCTCAGCAACTATTTTACTGCCACCCGGAAACACAAAAAACTCCCCAGTTTCGACTAGTTGTTTTTTTAAATTAGTCAAATATATTGAAGTTTTCACCTAGTCATGCATAGACATGTGTCAGCACGTGCAAATGTTTGGCCATTTTTTGAAAAGTGAACGAAAATTCCATTAAACATAAAACCAAAAAATGGAGGTGGAAGCAGCCCAGGCGGGCTGCTTGGAGGACTATCTGAAACAGACTGGTAAATGGTAGAAAATTGCCGTTTTCATATAAAAACGCATTCAATTCCTCTCAAATAGGATGGGGTGTTTACCACAACTTCATCTTGAGTGTTACCTGCGCTTGCCTCATGGTCCACGCCCTCACTTTCATATCAATTATTTACGCTGTCGCTTTATCTAGTTGTGATGCGCTGTTCATCCCCAGCAAGAATGCCTTGAGGATATTTTCTGGATATTTGATAGGTAAGGAGGACGACTTGAAAACCCGCTAGTATCCAGGACTTTCTTCGTCCTCCAGGAAGCGCCAGTGGAGGTCTAGTGGCGAACTCCCTATCGGATAGATATGGGCGAAGACGCTGCTTAACCTACAGCCTAATCTGCATGTTTTTCTCCTCATTCACTGCGGCTTTTGGCTACAACACGTTCGTGGTGATTGGAGCGACTTTCATATTGGGAGTAGGGTGAAAAAGCAACTACCATTCATCTTTTAAGCTCCCCAAAAAATCCATGGCTTCACAGGCTGGAAACCTCTGCAGTCCAAATCCGGCTTCTTCTAGTCGAGGTGCTTTGCAAAGAGAAAAGGGGCTTCTGGATGGCTTTCTGCAACGTTTCCTGGACCTTCGGATATTCGCTAATCACATGTAAATCGCGCTGATATTTGCAGAAGCAATTTGAAGTCAATATCTGGCAGTTTTAGTGATTTTAGTGGAAACTCCAGCTATTTTCAACTCCACCGAAGAAGGCACGAAACTGGCTTCGTGGCGGCTGATGTTTGCAGTTAGTGGAGGCGCCAGCCTGATAATGGCATGTGTTTGTGCCCTTTTGGAGGAAAGTCCTCGATTCTACCTAAAAATTGGACGAAACTACCTGGCTTATATTCTTCTCAAGCAGGTTTACGCCATAAATAAATCCAGCTTTGCTGATACCTTTCAGGTAAGCTTGAGGGGGTGTTTGAGGCGCTTTTTTGAGTCTCTGCTAGGTGCGAGAAGAGGAATTGAGCAATTTGATCCAACCGTATGGCTTGAACTACTCAGAACCACTGTCTTATTGGAGCATAGTAAAGCGGAATTGTTGGCGGGTTTGGAAAAGCGTCCAACTGATGTTCTCTAAGCGATTTTGCAGGATTTCTTGGGCGCTGATGTTGCTCAAAGCGCCCGTTTTAATAGTCGGGTAACTGATTTAGTCCCATTTTGCTTAACTCATTTAGAACAGGGGTTTTCAGATTTTTTCAGATTAATCTGGTATTTGCCAGGTTGTTGATGCTAGATGATGCCTCAACTGAGCGGTTCGAGGGCTTGGACTTTATTTACCCTATTTTTCAAACTTCGGAGGCAAAAAGAGGTTTAAACTCAACCAGTGGCATGTGCGCTAATACCAACAATAATCAGGTGTTTTACTCAAACTTCTTGGTTTTGACCTGGTCGAGTTTGCCTGGAGAAATTCTCTGCATGCTTTTCGTGGATAAACTGGGAAGGAAATTTGTTTCATGTACGTTCTTTGAGGCGATTTGAGATGGATCCGATTTGTGCGATTTAGTTGCAGGTTTCCTGCTGGCAAGTTCCTCCTGTTTGTTAATGGGGTTTATGGAAAACCAGTGGGTTCGAATGACTGCTGCCTGCTTCGGCATGTCTTCCTTAGCTGCAGCTTTAGCAACAATCACCTTGGTTAATATGGAGGTGTTTCCGACAGCTATTAGGTATTGAAATACACATTAGAAAGTGCAGACTTTTGCCAAAAAGTTTGCGTTGGTTTTAGAGGAACTTCCAATGGAATTACGAGCTTTCCTGGATACGTTTTGGGAGTGTTTTTTCTGAACTTGATTGCAATCCAACCTCGGCTATTTATTATTGTTATGGGCATATCATACTTTTGTAAGTATTTTAGCGTAAGTGATGATGAAGCAACAGACCTAAAAAAAATTGCTTATTTTGTCTTGTGATTTTTTTTCCCTGTTGTTTACTTGAGATGATAAATCGCAATTTAACAAATGAGAGTAGCCATTCTAAAAATCATAAATTCCTACTTGCTTTTTTCAGGTCTTTCAATTTTTACGTGTTTCCTGCCAGAATTCAAAGAACAACCAATGACGGAATAGTGGGACTGTAATTAAAATTTAAGAGTGTATAGAATTAACAAAATCTCGATTAAGTTTGGGGTTTTATTAATTTATAATCGATGTAACTTCAAAAGGAAGAGGCAAATTGTATGCAGTTGTTGCAGATAACGAAAGTTGTCCGATTATTTCTCGTAAATTTCACCAGTTAGCGAGCGAAAAGCCGAAGTAATCTTGTTACTCTGTTACTCAGCAAAAGCGTTATTACACAGAGTTTACTCCCGTTAGACCAAATTCTGTAAATTTCTGTATTTTTTTCAGCGTGAAACCTTCCTATTTAATAATTAGTTTAGTGAATGTGAACCATTCATGGGAAATATTGTCTTTCTTCTGAAAAGTTTTTCCTGTATGTAAAGCTGGTCAGAAAAGCCGTTAAACCCCACTAAAGTCCTCACAAAACCATAGCTTTTTAGGCAAGAATTTTGGGTCCGTTTGAGGAAACCATTCGGCTTGTTTTTCGTTAGTCTCATTCTGAACAAGCATTTTGTAGAAAATGACTGGTCTTCCTAATAGAGCGAAAAGAGGGCTCTAATTTTTCCCGCAAACAGAGCAAATCTGTGCGTAAAAGACTAGCAAATTAAAAAAATTTTCGATGACATTTTTTGGAAATTCGGACCAAGAAATGCTTGATTTTGCCTCTGACGATCAGAGGTATAAAGTTTGCACATTCTTTAAAGAATTAATGTGCTTCTTAATTGAGTGAAACGAAGGATCTACTTTCTCATGAATATGGAGCTGATTTTTGCGTAAAAAACTAGCAAATCAAAGCTTTTTGAGACGAGAGTTTTTGCGAAATTTAAGGAAGAAAATCTGTGTTTAAAACTGGCAAATTTCATTTGCTTCAAATGCTTTTAAATTCCGCGAGTTAGCAAGCATAAAGTCCAAGTGATCTTGTTACTCTGTTACTCATCAGAAGCATTTTATAACACAGCGGAAGAATTGGTTGAAAAACGCGCGTTAGCTTAATGATGGAACATCGAACTCTGAGACTGTCCAGATTGTTCTCAATGTGAAACATTCCTGTTTATTAATTTACTTGGTTTAGTGTTTATTAGTGAATCTGAAAAGTGATGTATGGCAAATATTGTCTGCCAGTTTGCCAGAAAAAACTTCACACACTAGTAACACCTCGTTAGCGTCATATGGTGGGAAGCTTTCGCGTGGAAACACTTTTAACACTTTTTTAAAGAAAACATGTTGGATTTTGTTTTTGCTTCTTTCTACTGAAATAGAATTAAGAGACATTAAGGCGCGTGTTTAAAAACAATATTGATCGTGACTTTCTTGCAAAGCTTTCGATTATTAAAATTCGACCAGCTATAGATTTTTTTTAACTTTTAAAGTTTGCGCCAGAAATCGTTAATTTTATAAATGTTTACCTGATGTAGAGCACTTTTGATTTTCCAGACAGAATTTTACATTGTTTTAAGTTTCGTGCTCTGGCGAGCCATAAAAACGGCAAGTTTTGATTTAATCGCCTGAACGTAACACTATATAGTACCGTAAAGAATAATGGGTTTTACGTATGCGAGCAAGCGTTTTGTTAAAAATAACGCTCAGTTAAAATTATTCATTTTTGTAAAATATGCAAAGGAATTTGCGGGAAAATAAACTGTGTAAGTATATCAATCCGGGGAGCGTAACTATTTATAAAAAATAATGCATTGGGAAACTTATTGAAAGCTGGGCGTTATTTTTCGCATTTATTAGCTGAGGTTGAACCTTAAAAGCAATTTTCTTTTTACTTTATCGTCTAAATAGTTTACCTTGAATTAAGTATGGAGGAATTTGGGGCACTGATAATAGCACATTGCCTGCAGTATCTAGGCATTGTCCACTTTCTGTATGAAAAACGAAATTGAAATTTTTAAATGTGCCAGTTAATTTTAAAATTAGCTATTTTGGTGAATTATTTCATATGCCCAGCCACATCTGCTTCCAAAGGTACGTGTAGACAAAAACGCCGCTTGAAGTCGTTTAATTGAAAAACCCGTTTGAAGCAGATCAGAAATGTGGACGGGCTCTTGGCTCAGATTTTTCCACGGCAAGTGAACGAATCGTTGCAGGATACGATGTAGGATATTACCGATATCCCTGGTACGCAGCTTTGATCCAGGAAAAGCAAGTGAGTTGTGGCGGAGCCCTGATTGGCCCCAAACTTGTCATCACTGCCGCTCATTGTTACAAGGAATATCTGGAATTGGCCAAGTGAGTTTGATTGAACTTCTGGAGTTTGCATTGATTTCCTTTGGACTTCTAGTAAATCTGCTGTGAAGCTGGAAAATGTATATACGGTGCGTTTGGGCTTGTACAACATCTGCACCACTGAAAAAACGGTAACGGAATATCGAGTGGACAAGGTCCAAGTGCATGAGTTGTATTTGACCAAGAAGCCTTACTTTGATATTTGCCTCCTCACTCTAGCCAATAGTACTGAAGCTTATGAGCCTCTCTGCCTACCTAGTGGAGGTAAGTGGGTGGCATACTTTAGGCTATTTCAAGTTAAGTTTAAGTCTTCTTCAGGAATAACTCAGCGACCTAAAGAAGGCACAGTGCCTGGAATGGGCACTTTGAAATATCAAGGCCCCATGCCCTGCACTCTTCATGAAGCTCGTTTGCTCATCCATTCAGACGCCACCTGCTTCAAAATGATCAACGATACTGGCAATGATGGAAATGATATTAAGAATGCTTTCTGTGCCGGGTATTTAACTGGAGGAATCGATTCGTGCCAGGTAAGCAAAGCTTGGAAGTTGAATTTCAAAGTTTATGTGGTTTTTCAGGGGGATAGTGGCGGGCCTTTGCAGATTAGGGATCGAAATGGACGATTTGTGCTGTTTGGTAGGTTTAGAAGTCGCTCAGAAGGATAAATCTTCATCAATTTGAGGTAGTAAGTTCATAAGGTGACTTTTAGGCATCGTTTCCTTTGGGTTCCATTGCGGCCTGCCTAAGTACCTTGGAGTGTACACAGACGCTTCCCAATATATCGACTGGATAAAGGAGAACAGCCAAACAGATTTGGATTTGATCAGCTCAATGAACAACGAAAGTTCTACAGAAATTTCCAGTGAATCCCATGGTACTGTTTTGCTCTTAAGGTTCCCGATGAGAAAATATATTTTTTAATCAGCTGAAGCAGGGTCTTAATCTCTGAACCGGTCGTCCGTCTTAGAAGCGGCTTTCTGTCTACATTAATTGTTCGTTTCTAATCATTTTTTTGTACAAGAGTCTTTGTTATATTTTCTATTTAGCACAGCAGATATACTTTAATCAATTTGATAATTTCGCCTTTCAGGTCACCACAAAAATCATCATCAGTATTACCATCAAGCTCCACTGCGAATCATCGTCCTGAGAAATCGCAAATTGATGAAAAACCGCCACAGGCAAATTCGAAAAAATCAACAAAAAGTGAAGGAATGGGAATAAAATTGAATCAATTTTTTCAAAACCTGCTATTTTAATAAGTATATGAATTACATTTACATAAGTATATGAGTTGTTAAAATGGTAAACGCAAAACAATAAAAAGAAGCACTTCAATCACAGCCCAAAATTAAAATCACAATTGGAAAAAACAAAAACCGAAAAATTATATCCAAATGCGGACAAAAAGGATATTTTCCCTCGCCAACGGTTGTTTGAAAATTCCACCATCGACGTCAAATCTAGGAAATAATTAGTAGAAAGCTTTTTATTTGTAGCTGGATTTAACCGAGTAAATAAAATTTTGATAAAAAAGGCAACGAAAAAGTTTTGCAACGAACAAATAAAATTTAAATTATTTATTGCAAAAATAATGTTTTGTTTTCAAACTCTTTTTATTGAGGATTCCAACTAGAAAACATTTTTATCTTGTAAAAATACCGAATTAAGTTTAGTAATTGTTTCTATATTGTGAACTAAAATAACTCTTGCTGAATAAAAATTGATATGCGACAAAACGATAACCAAACGGAGTACGAAGATATAATGAAACACCATAAAACAAAAAACTGAGGAATTAAACACTAGAAAACTCGGATTATTAACTAATCGGGCGCGGTTTCTTTATATGTCTACCAAACTGTGCTAGTTTAGATTAATATGGAAGATGTCACAGTCACAGACGTCACAGTGTTTGTGTTTACATTTGATTCTTAGGTTGGATTTCGTGTTATAATACAATATATAGTTATATATACAATTATATATATTATATATATAATTAGTGGAATTAAAACCCTGATATTGATTGCAAACAGCGATGTCCGAAAGTGACGATGATTCTATTCAAGTAACCCAGCATTGGGGCGAAATTTCAGACGAAAGTTTCGAAGATAGTGCCACTGTTTCTTGCCTCTTGGAAGATATTAAACGAAGCATGCAACGTAATTGCCTAGATGCATATCCGGATGATGGAAATGCCCAGACTGTTTCGGACATTTCGTAAGTTCAGCTCCTGAAGCCTCGACACTTGCCCTCCTTTGAAGTCCCAGTTAGTATTTAACTTTTTGTTTATAGCATTCCTGCTTTTGACCCGCTAGTCCTGCACGCCATCGAGCTTCATAAATGGATGAGTAAAATGAAAGAAGCGATTAGAGTGGCAAAGGAGAGCAAAAGTCGCACTAAATCTTCTATAGAAGACGCCAGGATTCCCATTCCAGAGATGCCCAATACTGCGCTTTTGAGCTTCATCTCCCATGGTTCTTCAAAGCAAGTTTAACTACTCTACTTACAAAAAATCATTTAAAAGCTAGTAACTGTTTGAAAACGCCACGTTCAGCTGAAAAGTTTACTTAGTTGTTTTCAGAAAGTTCAATGCAGATGTGGACTTTCCAGAATTAAGCGATGCCATTGTTAAGCAGATGTTGCCTAAGTGTGTTGCTATAATGGCTGCTCAGATCGGTTTGGAAGGCAAGCTAATTTCAACCCAAATTAAAATCAACTTCTAAACTAAAATGGCGTTTTCAGACTCATTTCAAAGTGTTCTGGACGTGATGGTGGATGCGTATGAGCAATGTCTCATCAAACTATGTGATAAAGTCAGTTCAGCCTATCGTGAGCAAGAGGTTTTAAACAGCAAAGGTTTTCCAGTAGGTTCCAAAGATTTATTAACTCAGATGCATCTTTGTAAAATCGATGATTTTTTATATTCGTAGAACCTGATTGAGAGGGTTTTGGTGGAGTTGGGGTTCGGCGGCGCCAAAGGTTTGCACAATTTTTACCAATCTAGAGTGGTTAAATATGCACTTTCGCTTCAAAAACGATGCAAGAAGCTAGAAAACGAATATCTAGACCTGCTGGCACCCAAGTCTAAAACGCCTACAGAAGATGAATCGTAAGTTTCATTTCACAGCTAAAGTTCGTAGGTTTTGGACAGAGTATGGTTTATTAGGAGCTTCGCTGGTGAACCTACAGGAGATACATTGGAAAGTGGGAGTAGTGAGGACGAAATCACCTTGCATAGCAGCCAATATTTCAGAGGTAGTTTTTGTATTTTAAAGGTTTATTAGTCATAAGACTGCTCATTGCATCGGTTTTAGACCCAGAAACTATAGACATGATTCTTCAATAATCTTCCACATTGAACAACGGGTAACAATGATGAAAGTTTTCCCTTGGTTGGACTGAAGGCAGCAGGTTTGCTATCGTTTAAATCGAAATATTAATTAAATAATTTAACGAAGACATTGAATCGTATTATTTTCTTGTGTTGGCCGCGTAGGCTTTGGGGATGAGTTGGATTAGTTTGTAGTGTGTCCGCAATGGCATTATTTTAAGGATTGGATGTTTTTTTAAATTCCTGAATGGTGAATTGAATCAAACCAAACTACTTATCTCGAAAATATGGTTCATTTATTTATTTTCTTAAGTAGTCTTAGCAAACAAAATCGCTTTTCTCATTGACATACCACAGCTTGGTAATAGCGTTCCAAAGAAATACGAATTCACAGCGAAAATACACGTTATTCTGCATTTTAAAAATAATCAGTTTGCTTATTTCTAAGGTCACTTAAACATAAGCTAAAATGAGAATTAAACACATAAGACAACAGTTTCTCAAAGATTAACGCGAACAAAATTGTAATAATAATAAAATAACACTGTTGTATTAAAGAAACCGATTTTCCTTAAAAATGCATTTGTCTTAACTTAAAATAAGTTGCGAGCGTTAGAGAAACAATCCAATCGGGAACTTAATTCGCAACTAATTAATGTCTGTGTTTACCCATTCGTGGACATTTAATCTACTTACTATGGGGCCTTGCAATTATTGCTTTTTTTGGAACCCGATCCAATTTCTGCATCACTTGCGAAATGTCCTCAGGAGCGTCTTCAATATTAATCTCCGAGAAGATTGGAGCTTCAGGAAGCTAAATAGACGTACTTATACAGCACACAGGTTTAAATCATCAAAAGGAAAACACTTACTCCAGTTTTTTGCATTGCCATTGATGCTGCATTCGGCAAACATTTCCCCTGATTGGGCTTATTTTTCATTTCACTAAATCTCTTGCGCTCCTGCAATTGGAAATCCTTTCGCACAGCCGCTGGCGCTGCATCAATTCGTCGGAGAACCGCGTTACCTTCGCAGTATTTTTGGGGGTCATATGATGAAACTTCGCCCTAACAAGAAAACATTGAAATAAATAAAAGTAGTCGCGTGTGAAATTATGTGAAATATTACATCCTCCCATGTGGAATCAAGTGGCACGGGAATGGCAGGTAAAGGGGCTTCGATTGGGGCTACATCAGTTTCCGCTTGAAAAATATGCAGCTCTACACCTTTTCGATCCGGGCATTCGTTGTGATGATACTGATTAAAAGCCGTTTTGTTAAATAGATATTAACGGATTCTGCATAGTTCACGTTTAAATAAGTCTCAATATGGAATTTAGTACTTTTTTATTTACTGAAAATAAAATATTTACCTGCAACTCAATTTTGGGAATTACATGGGACGCATTAAAGTCACACGTAACCATTTCCTTAGATCCCTTGTGCTGGTTCCGACATTTCAACAAGTGCATTTCGATCCGATTTTTGTGTATATGATGCGAATCGTTGTAGGGACAAACCACCTTCGCTTCGATACTAAAAATATTAAAATGGAAGACAAAATTTAAAAAAAATGGCTAGTTTTTCGGGTGTACTTCAACATATAATACACGTTTGGAAAATAGCTTTAGCAATGATATTTGAAAGTTCCTATACAGTCGATAGATAGTGGATATAAACCTATATTGGCTAATCAATAATTAGATTAAAACAATTATAAATATGTCTACAATGCAATAAACTGATGCCAAAAACATTTCTTTCTGATGGTTTTAATGTAGGTACGTTCTTTATATAAAAAGCGACACAATTCATAATAAATCATGTGAGAAATTCGGACTTTCCAAAGAGCCGAAATTTGAAGCCAAATACCAGCAAGATTTTGATCCACAAAATGGACTCATTTTGCCCTTAAAGTGGCTCAGAATCAGGGTCCTAGACAATAAGAACTCCTGAGTTTCCCGCGCTTATTAACAATTTCAATTAACCATCAGTTAATTAAATGAGACTAAAACCGCAGATGCTGCATAAACACAGTCCATTCCTTAACGCAAGACAAGAAATAGCTGCAGTGGCAAATACTTGCATATAAAATTTTAAATATTATATAGTGTCTTACTTCCTCAAAATATCCATCCTTTGAACGTATTGCACACCAGATTCGAGGGTGATTTGTACAGGAAATAGTTGTACAACCTTCAGCAAGATTACACAATGTCCAAACGCAATTAATGGATTATAGACCACCCTTTACACCACGTTTAGCCCGTTATTATTGAAAATCATAAAATGCGAATCATTTATACACAATTTTTTAAGCAAAATGACACCCAAAAACCCACTCCATATTGTCATGCTTATCTATTTCTCAACTTGCTTTCTGATCAACCGTTGTGCCTTCAATTATATTCCACTCAATACACGTAAGTGATTCCAAACGTAGTTCTCATGCAACTGGAAACTTTTAGGTGATGAAGATGTCCAGAATAAAAGTACAAACAGAGAAAATTGGAAATTAATTTCAACAATTTCCCAACTTTCCTAATTTCTTCCCGCTTCTGGCAAACCTGGCCAAAGACGTGTGGTAATGTGTCAAAAGACTCAACTCTAACCTATACAGTCCAACAAGTCAAGAAAACTGCGTCAAAATAAATAATAATAATCCATAATACTAAAGTAGTAGTAGTAGATTTGCCCTGGCTGATTTGTACAGTTTAGTATCGTCATTGCCTGCTGTATAGTTTTAGAAAGTCGACGTTGTTGATTCCCAGCCACCAAGAATCGTTCCAACTGAGTAGTCAAAGCCTGAAGCAACATGAGTCATTCACAATAAAAAAAATCAAATTAAAACCTGAATTACCACACAGTTGCTACCAACGAAAGACCATAATGTGCCTTACACTAACCCAATAAACATAGTGTTGATCTAGCTGAAGATTTGCACGTCGCAATGGATGAAAGAAGAATAGCTGACTATTTCGTTGTAGCTGGTTTGCCCGAGGAACCAGAGCCTCTGGATCATACCACATTATCTGAGGGTGGCAACCTAAAGGTAACCCTTATCATGTCTTCATTGAAGCATACAGAAAGAGTGTGCTTTTGCAGGCAAGTCATGGCCAAGCCCCCATTATAGATGTAAATGTATATTTCCCAAGTCTAGGCGAAGAAGTGCCTGAAGGCTGGGTTGCCATTACAAAAACCCCTACTGGTCTTAGCGCTGACTTGAATCATGGAAGTCTACGGACTACTGAGTGCTTTCTGTGTGTTAAGAGAGGACGAGAGAAGCCACCACTTGTTGATCTTGGTGAGATACCTGGTTTGCTCCTTTTTCTGTTTAGATAAACATTTTCTGGCGTTTATTAGAGGCTCACAAAAGTGTCTTATGTAGTGAGAAAGTGGTAGAACGAAAATTGTGCTCTATGTGATGTTGGTTTAATGTTGTTCCATTTGAAGGACTCTCTTAAGACTTTAGTCTCTTAAAAAATTGATTCCTTACGAATTCGTAAGTAAGTTACAGTTATAAAGTTAAAACTTAATCAGCCCGTTTAAAGAAACGCGACTTTTGCGCTTCGAAAGGACAGGGCGACTAAAAATGAGCCTTGGTGTAAATGAGATTACGCACATCAACACGTTTCGGACGCACGTTAAGCGAGTTTAGCCCTGAGGTTTCGCTAGCAGGCATGGATGGCATTCTCAGAGGCGTGTTTGTTTCAAACATCGCAACTAAACCCTGAAAATCGCCCTCAACCCAAACCTTATCAAGTGCATAAAGCTGGAAACATTTTGCCTTTGTGTCTTTCAGGTGTTATGTATGAAGGAAAAGAATGGCTAATGGAGGACGCGGAAGTGGTGAAAACTAGTGTGGGTGGCAATGTGGCAAATGTTAACAATTCCACATCTCTCACTTTTATTACATTTAGAAGAGGTCTGTACCTTCGTAGCCTTTCGCTTGGACCAATCCTCATTGTCCTCCTAATCTAATTTAGGTCTGCCCACAATGCCCTGCAACGCGCTAGTAGTAACGGACATTTGCGTGGTGATTGCCAGCAAAGGCGAATCGCCTCCACATGCCTTCTGCTGCATAAATAAAAATTTGAATAAGGGAATGGTTGGATCTGATGTGTTTCTATGCTATAAAAAGTCCATGAACAGGGCCAAGCTTCTGACATATAAACCCGATATTCTTGCAAGGTAAAATCCCGTTCTAAGAATCCACGTTTGTTTATCGCCGCAATATATTGCAGGTATCCATTAGGAGACATTCAGGACTTTCCCTTCCCAAGTTCCATACCCCTTTTTTGCTTGCCGATGGGCGCCACTCTGGAATTGTGGCCTTTGGAGGCGAGCAAACCCAGACCTGTTTTTAGCATGTTTGTTCTTACGGTTTCCGACGCGAAACACAAAGTTTATGGATCAGCGTTAACGTTTTATGAAAAGTATCCCGTGGAAAATTTCACGGAGGGACAAAAGCAGCTATTGGGTACAATACTGGCATTTCCCACACGCTTTTTTCATTAACTTTGCTTATTCTGCAGGATATACTGAGGATGAAGCTTTTGTTTTATATGCGAATAAGAGTATTTGCGTGTTGAGCCATTGGCCGTTTGCTGTGGACTTTCAGATGTGGTTACTACACTTACACGTAAGCGATTGAGTGTATTAAACCCTTAACCGAACTGCCCAACAAAATCAATTTATACCAAATTTGGAAGTGGATAAGTTCTGTTTGCTGCGAGCGATTTTATTTCTGTTTGAAGCGGTCTTTAGTGCTATTCCTTTAAATAAATTGGGCTTCAGATGATTTTTCTACAGGGCAGTAAGTAAATGTAATTTTTTTCTATTTATGAAGTTTCAACATCAACTCTAGGTCATGAAGCTCGGAGCAATTTGGTTACCTTCAAACTTTGTGTTGGCACCCAAAAAACGTATTCTTTGTGCAACTAGGAGTATTGCAAAATTTTAATTTTTTTTCATTTTACGACCTGGAGACAATTTATCTGAGGTGCTTAACTTTTCCAAATAATTGATGAACAAAAAGCAAATGCGGTTCAATAACGCTTCAGACAGAGACCCAATCGGTTTAGGCAATCGGAATTTAGCAAGTTCCAAATTTAGAGCAAATTTGGCGGTGTAACGTTCATTTTCTTGAGCAGCTTAGTTGATTAAAAAACTCTTTTAAAGCGTATGGTTACTGATGACAACCCAACGCCGGTACCAGTCGAAAGGTACATCACGCAACTGCTGGATGAAGTCCCATTTCCGTCCCCTCGTACATTACTGCAGCTGAACGCCAGCAATCAAGACCTAAGAGTCATATTTACGCAACCTGAAGATTTGCCGCTTCCTAGAAGCGCAGCCAGCTTCAAGCAGTTACTGCTCAGCTTGGGCTCAGAAAACTGCCTTCAGGTACTTCTCAAGCAAAGGCCCGTAGTTCGCAACGTCTTCAGCTACAGCCTCTTTTCTTAGGTGTTGCTGTTGGTGCTAACAGAGCAAAAAATCCTGATTCACTCCTTGTTGCCTGATGTGGTAACTTTGGTGGCTGAAGCTGTAAGCTCAATGTTGTTTCCATTCAAGTGGCAGTGCCCTTACATTCCTTTGTGTCCTTTGGGTGAGTATCTTTTGCGAAACTTGCGTCTTTCTATTGAAGGTTTTGTCGAATTTATCAGGTTTGGTTGAGGTCTTGCACGCTCCCTTGCCGTTCTTGATAGGCGTTGACTCACGATTTTTTGACCTGTATGATCCGCCGCCAGACGTGAGCTGCATAGATTTGGATACCAATATAATCACTGTAAGGAGCCTTACTTAATTATTTCCTTCAATATAAATCAGTAATGATGTTTGCGCCATTAGGTAGCTGAGGCTCAACGACAACACCTAAACACTAAACTTCTGCCAAAGAAAGCGGCAAAGTGCCTGAAAAACACGCTGGAATATTTGTATTATCAGTACAGAAATGCTCCGATTAACACGGCAGATGCCTCCAATCCCGATGATATTGAAGCAGAGTTCCAAAGGAGGAAAAAGGAGGTTTGATAGGAGAAGCTATCGCCGATGTTTCTGTACAAAAGAGCCCGTTTTAGCAAGCTGAGGAGCTGGAAATTCAGGAGGCGTTCCTCAAATTTATGGTTCACATTCTGAAGGGTTACAAGTCGTATTTGCGCCCCATAACCAAAGCGCCTACAGTGGGAACCACCGATCCTGATGCCTTGTTCCATTTGACGGAATTCTTGAAGAGTCGAGATAAAAGCAATGCGAAGTTTTTCAATTTACTGATGAAAACCCAAATGTTCATCAGGTTGGTTGTTTGCCAGCTGTTAAGGTTGCAAGGCATAATGCAATAAACTTGCAGGTTTATAGAAGAGAGGAGTTTTGTAGTAGATCATGGCGATCAGAGCTTGACGTTCTTTGATGATTGCGCTGAGAGATTGCAAAGCGATGAAAGTGAAATTCGACTCTTAGAGCTGGAATGTGTACATAAGAACGACCGCACTGTTTTCGTGTTGCCGCCAGAGCCTGTAAATGATTGTGAGTTTCCGCATTGTATACTGTTTCAAAAGAGGTAAAACTGTTGGTTTTTTCAGCCGATTCTTATACATATTCCCAGTTTATTTTAAATCCCGTTCTATTGCTAAGTGGTAAACGACGAAACCGATTGGCTTCGCTCTACCAAACGGGTATTCCGAGCTCGCCGATGGCGCGAAGAACCAAGCATGAAATCAAAAGCGCCCAAAAATTGGCACGGAAATATCAAAGGCTGCCCGATACTTGGGCGAAATGCTTATGTGGCACTTGCCACACACTTTATTTTATGACATTGCCAAGTATGCTCAGTTTAAACATTGGCAAAGAGAACAAAATCCTGCAACATGCTTATGAGCTATTAGTGAGGTAAATAATGCTGATGTAACCAGGGCTAAATTGCTATTGCGCTGTTTTTCCATTTAGAGCGACTTATTTCAAACTGCCCTGTGATGAAGTGTGCTATAGACTGATGATGCAATTATGTGGCGAACATAACCGACCTCTTTTGGCTGTGAAACTGTTAGTTTTAATGAAAAAGTTTGGCATTCAACCGAACGCTTTAACTTATGGGTATGGGCCTCAAAACCCAAGGAAGTAATCAACAATCTAAACCCATTATGGCAATTTCAGACTATATAATCGATGTGTTTTGGAAGCCCAATGGCCTGCTCACGCGGATTCCAGTCAGGTGCTATGGAATAAGCTGCGAAACGTCGTGATTGGAGCCGCGCACTTCAAATTTGCGGCCAAGAGAAAAGCTCAACGAAATTATCTAAGCGCATCAACTGAAGGAGGTAAACTCCCGCTAGTTAATCACAGTGGATTTTTTACTACGAGACTTTATAGGTTCGAGTCTACTCGATCCTACAGACCGAAGTGCCTCAAGAAGTTCCTTGGATTCTCACGAAGGTAACACCACGGAAGGCAGTCTCTTAGACAAGTTTAGGCGAGTGGCAAACAGCATAGTGAAAGGCAGTGTGAAAGGTAAGCGATCAAAATGCAATTTTGCAACAAACTTGTGTGTATAATGCAAGAAATTTTCAATCCAGAACTGGTTGAAACTGAAGAGCCAGATGGTGCTGTAGCGGATGCAAGTGAGGAGAACTTGGAGCAAAGTCTTTTTGTGCAAAACAGTCCGTCCGAATGTAGACTGCTGTCGAGATCCGAAAGTGGCGGCGATGCAAACTTAATCGATAAGCTTCAAAGTACCACGAAAAAAGCCTGCTCAAGAAACTTGCTCTTTGACCCCAACCTGAACGGAGATGCGATTGCCGAGAACGATAAAAACTCTCCCACTAAGTAGGCGTTTTTTGCTCCCTTGCTTTTACGTTTAATATTAAATGAGGATTTTCCTGCAGGGTTTCACCTAGAGAGTTGATAACGGAAAACGACCCGCTAGGCGCCTTTCAGCCACCACTAGAGGAAGTGTCTGAAACCCAAGCCAAAGAAAACGATTCTGTCCCCGAAACCCAAACAAATCCCGTCCTCACCGATGAACCTGTGTTGTTTCGAAATTCCGTCCATCGATCTGCAACGTTCGAAGGTAGTTGCAAAAAAAAAATAAATCAGAGCTCTTTTCCAAAGAAAATCATCTTAGGAAGCCCGCCATCGCAGAATAAATTGCATCGCTCCGAAACAGTGCCGGCAGCAACAGTCGCTTCCAGTCTCGCAAGTCTTGGCTCCAGCTTTAAACTTACCTTCAGGTAAGTGACTTTCTTTAACCAGCTTTGCTAGGAAATGTTATTCTGCTGACGAAACTTCCAAACCGGTTGTTTCAAGCACACTAACATGTTCTCAAGTGTGTGGCTTTTGATGTGCAATTTTTTTTCTGTCGCGTTCACATTCAACAAACATCCCCCGTAACAAATCGGACACATGAAGCTTTTTATTAATTAATTGCACATTTGCATGCTTAGAGTTTTGCTAGAATAGATGTTTTATTTTAGCCGTTACGCCACTCAAAGAATATCCTTAAGAAAAGCCAACCTTAAGGTGCCTCAGCAATTTATCGAAAATGCCATAACCAACCTAAGGTACGTGTAGCCGGTTTCGCTTAACAATACATATAAAAAGGCTTACTGTTTTCACTGTTCGAATGAGCAGTTTCAATAATACGTTGAAACTTTTCTCTGGTTAGTCCTTCAAGTTTGACTGGCAAAAAGTCCAACGAATTGATACAGGGCTCGTTGAGCACCATTAAATCAGCTGCCAATACCATGGTGAAGAAAATGGAGGAAATCAAAGAGGCGATTTCCACTTCAGCAACATCCACTCCGGTCAAGGCTTTAACCTCGGGCGATAGAATGGCTTCTGGGGACGCGTTGAATGATATTGATGGAGACAGTGCTCAAGGAAGCGAAGAAGGAGAACGAGTGCGCAAAGTACTTATTGAATTAACTTTTTTGGCGATTTTCACCTAAAATTCCTGATAGGTTTCAGTGGAAATGGGCAGCTATCGAGGCTCGTGCACCAACTTGAAAGACTACGAAGAGCCTTTGCCTGAAAGCTTGTATCCAACGCCAGAAGAAGCTAAGGCGGAAAGTGACGTTGATATCACTCTCACCACTTGCTCTCAGTGCCACAACTGCAATCGGTCAGTATTTTAGATAATACAAGCAATAAATGCTTAAAAAAATATTTTCAGCTTGCTATACGACGAGGACATAATGGCCAATTGGTCGGCGGAAGATTCCAACTTGAACACTCTCTGCCACGCATGCGGAAAGCCCACAGTTCCTCTCCTCACGGTGACGATATCCGGGCGAGAAATGCGAAACTGCGATCCTTTCAGTGTTCCTTACCTAAATCCCTTAGTTTTACGCAAAGAGCTGGAGAACATTTTGGCTCGCGAGGGCGATTTGAGGTAAAATTCTTTACACCAACTGTCCAGCTCCGGCAACTGTTTCCAAAGTGTTGCAGACTCGAAATTCATCGACGAGCATCCCATCATCTACTGGAACCTGATATGGACCTTCGAGCGAATCAACATACAAACGCACCTGCCGAATTTGTACTTTAAACATCGGGTTGATGTGCAAACCAACTCCAGCAAAGCGAATGGCAAAGCGGACTTGAAGGAGGAAGATGATGATAAGCAGGATGGTGGAAGTAGCATGCGATTGGTTGAAGAGGGCACTGATCCTTTGACGCAGGAATTGGCGGTTATAGGCAAGTTTTTATTGTATTTTTGCGAGCCCCGCTTCTCTTTTTTGACAATAGTTGGGACAAAACCGCTAGTAAGGAGATACAATTGTGTAAACGGTGCATTTTCTTATAGCTTGCACGGTGGGACACAAGAGTAAGGACATTTAACTGATAATCAATTTAACGTTTTTTTTTTAAGTAGAAGCTTTTGAGTACAACGCAAAATTTTTATTGTGGTTTATACAGTTTTTTTTCTATAATAGAACGTCTGTCCGCTCGAGTTAGAGTGAAATGCGTCTGGGACGAACCGAAATTCCACTCGGAAGGCCCTCCGATGTACATCCTATGGAGGTTACGAGACAGCAATCAAATAATTTCGATGGACAGAAGCAAAGTGACCAAATCGTAAGTGGTTGCCCGCCTACAGGCCCAAAATATTCGTTTTTAGTGTCGAAATTACTTTTGCAAAATGGCATGTATGTTTATGGCGGTTTTTTCCAGATTCATGCAACAAATTATTAACTATATTCGTGTGAATGATCTGGCGGAGCCAATCAAAAGCCTCACATACGAGAGGGAACAGCTGTCCAAAAAAATCGCTTACTCCATTTATCGGGACATCTTGTTTTTGGCCTGCAAAGTGTTGGGAAGAGCTCAGATCGATATAAATGCCTTCGATAAAGAGTACACCATGGCCTATTCACGGTGAGTTTGGATTATTTTTCGAGTAATTGGGTGATTGGATTATGTTTTATTTTTCAGTTATTGTGAGCGGGCCGCTTTGGAAGTTCAAGATAAACCAATCAGCCTGAGTGCGTTATATTGCAGACAATATTTTCGGCCTTTGTTGCTTCCCTAGGTACGATCGAACGAAGAAAATGCTTAAGGTAAAGGTTTTTACTAGATCCACATATTTTTATAAATGTAGAAGTAAACGGCCGGGGTAAAAACTACTTGAATTTGGGTCGGTTTAGATAACTTTTGCGGGTTTCTCCTGGTAATCTTGGACCTGAAAGGTACAGTTTTGTTTTTTCATTAGAAAAATTCACTTTGCTGCCATTATTTATGACTCCATGTGCATTGCAAATACACATGTTAAGGTTGATTATAATCGTTTTGTTTTAACTTGCATTGTCTTACAATGATTTTATTTATGTTAATTCAGCCAGTAAGTAAGTGGTTAATTTTCACGACCGTGCTAATAAACTACGTGTTTAATCATTTGGATTCCAACGCGATTGAGCAATTATAACTTGGGGTTACTAAACGACGCGTATGCTTTGAGATTATTGAAGCTATTTTTGAATTAGGTTTTATAGTTTACGTGAATAATTTGATTATAGCTTTGGGAATAGGAAATCGCTTTTGTAACTTATGATTGAAGGTGATCTGCAGCCTTTCCTGCTCCAAGTTTTAACGTTATCGTTTCGTGTGTTCGTTAAGGTTTTTCCATGTGAACTGTTTTGTTTAATGCAATGAATCAAGGAGCAGATTAGAAGTGCTTTTACAAACTACTTGTGTTCCAGAATTTGGTAGTTATTGTTAATTATCGCGATGAGGCTTCTTATAGAACGTATCTGAAATATTTGCACTAGGTTTATAGTTTAGTTATGTTTCTTTTCAGTATAATCCATGTTTAGCAGAATGTTATGTTTAAAATTTGTATTTTGACGATGTAACATAAATAATGAACATCAATAAATAATGATTCTCCTGTTATTACCTTTATTGCCCACAGTGGTTACGCAGGTACCACATTTACTATGTTAGACTGTGCATTGTCCCGCGTTCGGGGAAAATCCTCTGTTAAGTCCGCGATTATGTAGGAAACTACTGCCCAAAGGGCAGTTGCCCGGTCCAAATCGTCCGGGTCCAGAACTTCCATTCTGTCTGCTTGAGTATGGTGGAACCAAAAGTACCTAAGCATGAATTTATTTGAGATTTCCAATCCAAGAGTCCCTTGATGTTTGCTTACTTTTCATTGGCGTTCAAAAGACTGGCGCCTGGAATTAAATGGCTTGTCCATGACGATATATCGGAACCAACTCCGCCCTTACTAGCTACAGCTTGAGTGGCGTTTATCGGAGCTAACAAACTATGCAAAAACGGTTTTCAATGCAGTTACAGGAAAATGAATAATGCTTACTTAACAATCTCTTGTATAATGCAGCCGCCCTCAGCTCCGGCAGCATATTCGATTCCCAACGGCGTAAAAGTTCCTTCGTCTGATTCCATCACAAACGTAAAATTGCTGAGCTCTTCAAAGTGGGTCCTGTTGTACTCTGCCCATCCGACCAGCCCTGGTTCTTCAGCTGTCCACAACACCGCCCTGCCATACGCCGTGTTCAAAGCTGTCCCAGAAGAGTGGTTTGCTTACCTCAAGGTGCGTTTAGCCCTCAATCCCAAGCCTTTGAGGACTGCCAAAGCGTACCAGCTGATAAAGGCTCCGCCGCCATCATCCATTGCTCCTACTCCAACGTCCCAACTATCCAAATGTCCGCTTACCAGCACGACTTTCTTCGGATCAGTGTTTCCTAATTCATTAAAGATTTGGTGGTTTTAGCCAGCCGCTGTGGCAAACATCTTACCTTCGATCTCGCCTACGGAGTTTCGCGAAGTGCTGTCGCTAAATCTTGTGTAGCTCAAGTTCAGTTTGACTACAATTTTCTCTCCTCTGTCCTGAAAGGGGTTTGAGTGCTGACTTAAAGTTCTGGATGGATTTGGGTTCCTCACCTGGTATCGTTGCAAAAGTCTGGCGTCTTCTTTCGTGATGCAGGCGGTGGGGATTGGGGTGACTCCATCGTCGTAGTCTTGCCAGCCGGTATGCAAAGTGGACATCGAAAAGGGAGTGACAGAGCCAATCAGACTGGCAACAGCTCCAAGCCTTGAGGCTTCTGAGGCTCCTGTGGGTGCCTCAGAATTAAGGGTTTTTTTTACTCAAAGTGTATCCACCTGCCTTGACTTCTGTACTGGACGGTTTCTCCATAGGACACATATTCCTCATTGTAAACGACGATTTTTCCTTTCACCTCTCTGGAGACGTTCTCCGATCTGAGCTCGTCGAAAGTGTTGACGACGATCACTTCAGCTTCAATGCCTGATAAAGTGGAATGTTATAAAAATGGCAAGCTTTTTCAGTGCTTATTACCTTCTTCTGGAGTGCTGACGGAGCTTCCTAAACCGAGCACTGGAAGTGAGGCTTTTCGCGGAGAAACCAGCTCTCCGATTTCATGATTTCTGCAAATTTATCGCTCAGAATGTGTGGTTTGTCTGTGAGCAGCCACTTGAGCTAAGGCTTTTTATGTTGCAAATTCTCTCGCAGTTTAAGTGGCCTTTGTCTGGTTTGTATTCATTAGCTCACCTGACCCAGTGCGGTACTTGCGCTTCTTCCCCATGCACATTTTCCAGCTCATAGTCTTTCATAAGGTCCAGGGCATAATCGATGGCATCTTCCAGATTCTCCGTGCCCGACACTCGCGCCCCGAATGTGTCCACGAATTTGGCCAACTCCTTATAAGTGCCACCCTGAATGGATTGTTTTAAAAACATTTTTGCATCGTTTTTTTATGTAGTTGTACCAACCTTGTACTTCCCATTGACTAGGCTATTAATGATGGTGTTAGCCACTGTTTCATACGACCGGATCTCTTGCTTCAGAGCCTCGGGTAAATTGCATTCGTCTTCTTTAATTTCGTTGCTTTTAATGTCCCCATGGATAATCCTGCTGGTCGCAAGGACGGGGAGAAGAATGACGAGGACTAGGAGCCTCATCTGCCTGCGGCTGTAAAATAGTTTTTTTCTTAAATTTCAGCACTATTTTATGAATACTTACTGATGGATTCAAGCAAATCTTTCGCGGTTTAAATGTAATAAACTTCTGCTACATTTATAGCTTCTTATAGCTAATTCTAATTCGCCACTTGAGATAGTCTAGTCGGTTTTATTATCGCATCATTCAACAAGCTCGTTCTGATAACCTTCTGTTCATAATGGTCATTGCCAGATTATGCTGCCGCATTCTTCTAATAATTGCCTATTACGTATATTGAGTCATATGCCTATGTAAAGTGATAATTATTATGCAGGTACATCAGCTAAATTGGCTGCTCATCAACTGGAAAATGATTGGGATTTGTGGGATTTCAAAATGAATTCGGTTTTTTATGGTCGTTTTCAACGTTAAGCACTTTAGATGACATCTTTACAAGCGTTTTGTGCCTCCTGGACTTGGCTAGACATTGTCCAAGGAAGGCTCCTCTCTTCTTACCTGTCTCCTAAATAGGTGCATGAATTTCCGCTTTATTTAAGTCAAACAGCCGTTAAATAGAAGCCTTTGATTGCTTCAATCAGGTCAAAAACCCTTATTTTTGCTCTTATTATCAGCGATGGCTTTAAGTGTATCGCAACTGCCTTTTCCTCTTAGTTAAGGATCTTAAGAGGAAAGCGATTTTCCGGCGTTATTAAAGGGTCATTAATTACTGCGAATTTTAATTCATTGAAAAGCTTGGGCGAGAAAGACGGCAAAGAAATTTACTTAAAAGGCCAACCAACATTTGCAAGAAAACTGGAAAATGGGGATTTAGCCTGGATATAGTTTGACGCAGATAAATATCTGAAGTAAACGGAACATATGTTTAGTGATAGACACAATTGAGTTTCTGTTACAGCTCGAATTTTTTAAATTTTGCGAGCGTTGGTTGCATAGCTTAACTTTTCCAAACTAGGCAAAGCCGACACTTTAAATTTCGAGGGGAGAAAATTTGGTTGGGATTTTTGAAATCCCCGCAATACATGTAGGGCCATATTTTCCAAACTTCGTCAAGTAGACGCTTTAAATTTTGAGCGAAGAAGACGAAGACTTTCTTCCAAATATACGAAAAGTTCACGTAAATCTAACTTAAAGAAGATTTGCAGGACGTTTTCAACTTTCCATCTAAGTTTAACTCAAGGATTTTGCAGGCTATGGTTGTAAAACACTTATGTTCCAAACTACGCGAAGGAGAATCTTTAAATTTCAGGTGAAGAAACCGAAGGCTTGCTTCGATAACATGTTGAAAGTTCACGGAAATAGAACTGAAACTTCTTTCAATCTTCTTCAGCAATCTTCACTTGCTAGAATCTTTCAAATTCGATGCAAATTTTCGCACTTTTTGATTGAAAATTGCTTGGGGTTTTTCAAAAGAAAGTTTGCCTTTATTGTTTTGACGTTTTTCCTCGGGTATCCGGGTGATTCTGAGTAAAAAACGAATTTTTTGAATCTGCACTTTTCTGAGTTTCCTAGACTGAAAATTTGGCCTGTTAACACCCAAAGCCCGTGAATTTGCAAATTTGGAAACTTTCATTTGGGAAAATATATTGCGGGCCTTTAAACTAGCAAAATTGTACAGACACTTAGTGCACAAACACTTAGTGTGGAAACTTCCCGGACTCAAGCTACCCTCTTCTAAGCGCCCAACCACCCAAAAATAAACAGTAGGTACTTTTTCAAATGACGAGCACAATTCATGAAAAGAATCTCTGAAACTCTTCCTAATCTTCCAATGATTTACTGCTTCAGTTCAAACCGTGTAACATTTTTTATCAATGTTCCAAACGCCCCATACTGGCACCTGGCTGTTGAAAGTAAGACCGGAAGCCATTGGCACGTGTCCTGCTCCTGTACGGCTTTATGCGGTATTAAATTATCTAAAATCATCTGGTTGTCTGTTTGTAGTTTATCAGTCCCCTAAAACCCCATTCGATTTTATTTTTATTTGCATTTAGGGATTACTGCCAGTGTTAATGACGGCCTTATTGTGTTCGCTTCATGTGCGTGTTTGTCGGTAAAAGTGTTGAAAAATACTAAAATTTCAGTATTTTTACTTAATTAGCTAATTTGTTATGATCGTGGCACATTGAGTAATTTCTATTGAGATTTGAATTGGTCATGAAACAAGGATCTGTAGCTGACGAGACGAAGCAAGTAAGTATGAGTTAAATTCACTGACAAATATTTTACTAGCTTTGAAATTGAATCCAATTCTGCTAAAGTTTTTTCGTTAATTTTATGGGCGATCAAATAATATTTTCTCAATGAAATTGCTAAATATCAAGTAAATTTGAGTTAAAAAACTAACAAACTCAGGCTCTTCCTTTTAACACTTCTCAGTGCCGAGATTCAGCTGATTTATGCTAATGGACTCAGAAGCAAAAGCCGCGATGTTTATATGCTTTTGTTCTTGAACTTGGCTGATGATTTTATTCCGGTGGTTACTTATTTTTCTTAGTCTCCAATCGAGTCAGAAATTCCTTAAAATTATGTCTTAAAATCGCACTCGCCGCTCCGTTACTCGAAGAAGATTAACCGATTAACTTGTGAAAACGGAATTTTAAGTCTCCGATACATCAGCTAATGGTTTTAACGAGAATTTTACGATTTATACAGTCCACAAGCATTTTAATGCATTTTTTATGGCATTTTACCAAACAAAGCTCCATTAATTTTCTAATGCGCCGGAGATTACATTAAAAAACTATATTCCCCTTTTAGTGCATTCATTTAGGAAAATGTATTAGTCAGATGGATACGTTTTACTAACTTTTAAATGAGTTTGGTGAGTGAAACTGTGGAGTTTTACGGGCTTTTAAGAGGTGGTGGAAAGGAGTTTCTTCCTGACTTTTCACAAACACGAGTGCTTGCATCTTCAGAGGTGTTTTGAGTTGTCAAGCAGAGATTCTTTTAAACGACGGCTCAGATGCCCAAAAAAGCGTGGATTTTGACCATTTTTTGGACATTGACTCACGGCTGTGTATGAACCTAACCACCTCTGAAGATGGAGTTCACTAGTGCTCCCGAAACATTAGGAAGCATTTATTTTTCACCCCGGACTTGGGACACGAAAAGCTGGAAAACTCACCAGTTTCAACTTTTAAACGCATTTGTCATTTTGCTTAATTCGGAAAATATTAATATTCAAATGAGATTTCCCGTGCTTTATCCCCGATTTTCGTTTACCGCAAACGTACCAAATTTAATTTCATCCCTCTGTTGACTCTGTTATTCAGTACACAGCTTTCTCCGTTCATTTAGTAATTAGTTTTACATGTGTCGCTGCAAGGCACACAGTTACGGTTGTATTTATTCTATTTGCTATTGATTTCGATTAACTGCGATGGCAAAATGCGGATAAAATACAACTTTCGTATTTTTGCAGCATAAAAATTAGCTGCATAAACAACAGGTTTTCAATTAATTTCGCAAAACCATTTTTTTATTTGCCGTTAACTTCCAACCGGACAATATAAAGCGAGTCCCTTATATTGACGCAGGTCTTTGCCGAGTGGAAGTTTTATTGTACTTTTGTTACCATGTTCTCTATTGAAATGCGGAACTTTTGAGCGATGGTATTTCGGTATTCCACATGGATTTCCAGTATGGATTTGCCATTAGGAAAAAGTTCCGAGCGCATGTCTCTGTCGCACGTGCTCTGGATATCGGATGGATCCAGAGAAAGGGGGCGAGCGCTCTACAGACCGCGTGACGACAAACTTTTACTTGCAAGGAAACTTTCTAAAGGATGAAAGTGAAACGGGAATTTTTTTGCCATCTATTTGCAAAACGTGTGCCAGACCGTTTCTCCACTCTTCATTAGAATTTAATTGTAATGAAAGGGATTTTTTGCGGCTTTAGCGGACAAATAATTTTTCTTGTTCCCAAAATTATTTTTTGCTGCGCAAAATCCCTTTCATTCAGAATTTTCGGACGCTAAAACCTTTTAATTGTAATATTTTGAATTGTTCCTGGGCATTTTTATCGATTTTCTTTCTCAGCAATTTTTTTCCAAATCTTCTAAATCGTCCTCTTGCTTTGCCTTTTTGCTGTTATTTCACGCTTTTTAGTGAGTTACAATTCAGACTATAATCAACTTTTGACTGAGTGAACTCGCGTAAAATGCTTGATTCACCCGAAAAAATAGAAGAGACTTTGAACCTAAGTCAGGGGCGGATCCACCTTTAAATTCAAGGGGGGGGTTATGTAGAAAAAATACAGTCTTCTGTTGTCTATGAAATTAGAAAAATTATCGTCGTTTTGTGCAAGGGTGGCGTAAGATTATTGC